TGGTAAGGGCAGTGGGGGGGAAATTTGTGCCCCCATCATTGGTATAGTGGAGGAATAGTGCCCCATCATTGGTTTTAGTGGGAGGAATAGGCCCCATATTGTCAGTGGGAGGAATAGTCCCCCCATCATTGGTGTCAGTGGGGAATGTGCCCCATCATTGGTGTCGGGGGGATGAATGTGCCCCATCATTGGTGTTCAGTGGGATGAATAGAGGCCCCATACATTGGTGTCAGTAGGAGGAATTGTTTGTTCCCTTCTTTGGTATCAGTGGGAGGAATAGTGCCCCATCATTGTTTATCAGTGGGAGGAATAGTGTCCCCCACATCATTGGAATATTGCCCCATCATTCAGTGGGAGGAATAGTGCCCATCATTGGTGTCAGTGGGATGGAATAGTGCCCCATCATTGGTGTCAGTGGAGGGAATAGTGCCCATCATTGGTGTTTGGATGAATAGCCGCCCCATCATTGTGTCAGTAGGAGGAAGAGTGTCCCAATCATTGGTATCAGTGGGAGGAATAGTGCCCCATCATTGGTGTCAGTGGGGAGGAATAGTGCCCCATCATTGGTATCAGTGGAGAATAGTGCCCCAATACATTTGTTTCAGTTGGATGATTAGTGCCCGCATCATTGGTGTCTGTGGGAGGAATAGGCCCATCTATTGGTATGCCCAGTGGGAGTGGAGAGAATAGTGCCCCATCATTGGTGTCTTGTGTGGAGGAATATAGTGTTCCCATATCATTGGGTATCAGTGGGAGGAAAGGATTGTGTCCCATCATTGGTATCAGTGGGAGGAATAGTGCCCCATCATTGGTGGGTCAGTGGGAGGAAATCGTGTCCCATCATTGGTGTATCATTGGGAGGAATAGTGTCCCATCATTGGTGTATTAGTGGGAGGAATAGTGCCCCATCATTGTGTCAGTGGGGAGGAATAGTGCTCTCCTATCATTTGGTGGTCAGTGGGTGGAGGGATATTAGTGGCCCATCATTGGTATCAGTGGGAGGATAGTGCCCCAATCATTGGTATCAGTGGGATGAATAGTGCCCCATCATTGGTGTCAGTGGGTATGAATGTGCCCCATCATTGGTGTCAGTGGGAGGAATAGCGCTCCATCATTGGTATCAGTGGAGGAATAGTGCCCCATCATTGGTGTCAGTGGAGGAAATAGTAGGTGTCCCATCATGTGTTATCAGTGGAGGAATAGTGTCCCATACATTGTATCAGTGGGAGGGAATAGTGCCCTTCAGTCATGGTGTCAGTGGATGAGTGTGCCCATCATTGGTGTCAGCTGGGGATGAATAAGTGCCACCATCATTGGTGTCAGTGGGAGGAATAGCGCCCCATCATTGGTATCAGTGGGAGGAATAGTACCCCAATCATTGGGTGTCAGTGGAGAGAATAGTGCCCCATCATTGGTATCAGTAGGAGGAATAGAGGGCAATCATTGATATCAGTAGGGAGGAATAGTGCCCATCATTGGTGTCAGTGGGAGGAATAGTGTCCCATCATTGGTATCAGTGGGAGGAATAGTGCCCCATCATTGGTAGTCAGTGGGAGGAATAGTACCCATCATTGGTGTCCAGCTGGGAGGAATAGTGCCCCATCATTGGCGTCAGTGGGAGGAATAGTGCCCCATCATTTGGTATCAGTGGGAGGAAATAGTGCCCCCATCATTTGGTTCAGTGGAGGAATAGTGCCCCAATCATTTCGGTGTCAGTGGGAGGAATAGTGCCCCATCATTGTTATCAGGGAGGCAATAGTGCTCCCCATCATTGGTGTCAGTGGGAGTAATTAGTGCCCCCATCATTGGTGTTCAGTGGGCAGGAATAGTGCCCCACATCATTGGTATCAGTGGGAGGAATAGTGCCCCTTCATTGGTTGTCAGTGGGAGGAATAGTGCCCCATCATTGGGTGTCCAGTGTCGGGATTGAAATAGTGTCCCTATTCATTGGTATCAGTGGGAGGAATAGTGCCCATCATGACGGTGTCATGGGAGGAAATTAGAGACCAATGGAGATTGTTGTACAGTAGGGTGGAATAGTGCCCCATCAGTGGTGTCAGTGGGAGGAATAGGCCCCATCTTTGGTTTGTCAGTGGGAGGGATTAGTGCCCCAACATTGGTATCATTGGGAGGAAAGTACACCCCATCATTGGTCATGTCATGTGGGATGAATAGTGGCCCCAGCATTGGGTGTCCAGATACGGGATGAAATCAGTGTCCCAAGCTCCTTACCCCCATTGCCACTTATGGACCCTACATCCATCTTGTTGACAAACTGCATCTTAGTCCCACCTAAGGAGCAGAGGATCGTGTATGGAACCTTCTTCTCCATGCCACCTATACCTTTTACTTTTGAAATGATACACGAAGTATTCAGTCTGTAGTAGTGGAGCACAATCCTACCGGATACTTGAGAACCTCCTTGTCTCCAAGGCCAGGGGGCATATGGGGGGGGGGGGTGGGGAGGAGGACCAGGCATGGGGGGGGGGGGGGGGGGGGGGGGGGGGGGGGGCGCGGGGGGGAGGATGAGGGGGGGGTGGGTCGGGGTATTCGGCCAACACCAGCCCATGCACCTCGTCTGACGACATTGGCATAAAAATATGTTTGAGCTGCGTTGACCGGTCACAGTTTGGACTGCAACGTTGCTTCAGTTTCGTTGCGAGATCCGCTAAGATGACCTATGCAACCCGCAAACATTAGCCGTGAATCCATGGACCTTCAACCACCATCCAACTCGTTTATCTCAGCGGTGTCAGGTCCACCATTGGTGATAACATCAATCATTGAACCCTTTTTTTTTTTACGTGACCTGTTCAAGTTCCTCAAACATTCGTATCAAAGGGAATGGCTGTCAAATGTGAACATCAAACATTCCGACTGGGCCGTATCACCAGAAGAGCCGACCACCAGACCATTCTGGATTTTCCAAAACACAAGGCTGTATACAATGCCTTGAAAAAGTCTTCCTCCCCCCCCGTGAAATGTTCCCCTTGTTGTCATGTGACAACCAAACCGTCTATGTATTTTATGGGGATTGGATGTGATAGACCAACTCATCATTGTGAAGTGGAAGGAAAATGAGAAATGGTTTTCAGCATTTGTGCCCAATAAATCTGTGAAAAGTGTGGCGGCGTTTGTATTCAGCCCCCTTTACTCTGATCCCCCTAACTAAAATCTAGTGGAACCAATTGCCTTCAGAAGTCACCTCATTAGTAAATAGATTCCACCTGTGTGTTATGTAATCTCAGTATAAATCCAGCTGTTCTGTGAAGCCCTCAGAGGTTTGTTAGGATCATTAGTGAACAAAAAGCATCATGAAGGCCAGAAAACTCACCAGACAGGTCAGGGATAAAGTTGTGGAGAAGTTTAAGCCGGGTTAGGTTACCAAAAACTATCCCAAGCATTGAACATCTCATGGAGCACTATTCAATCCATCATCCGAAAATGGGAAGAGTATGGCACAACTGCAAACCTACCCAGACATGGCCGTCCACCTAAACTGACAGGCCGGGCAAGGAGAGCATTCATCAGAGAAGGAGGAGGAGAATCTGGAGGAGCTGCAGAGATCCACAGTTGGAGAATCTGTCCTCAGGACAACTATTAGTCGTGCGCTCCACAAATCTGGCCTTTATGGAAGAGCGGCAAGAAGAAACCATTGCTGAAGGACAGCCATAAGAAGACCCGTTTGCAGTTTTCGAGAAGCCATGTGGGGGACACAGCAAACGTGGACGAAGGTGTTCTGGTCAGATGAGACCAAAATTCTACTTTTTGGCCAAATAGCAAAACGCTATGTGTGGCAGAAAACTAACCGCACATCACCCTGAACACACCATCCCTACTGTGAAACATGGCGGTGGCAGCATCATGAGGTGGGGATGCTTTTCTTCAGCAGGGACAGGGAAGCTGGTCAGAGTTGATGGGAAGTTGGATGGAGCCAAATCCAGGGCAATCTTAGAAGAAAACCTGTTAGGAGACCGGGGTGGAGGTTCACCTTCCAGCAGGACAACGACCCGAAACATCCAGCCAGAGCTACAATGGAATGGTTCAGATCAAAGTATCTTCATGTGTTAGAATGGCCCAGTCACAGTCCAGACCCAAATCCAATGGACAATCTGTGGCCAGACCTGAAAATTGCTGTTCCCGGATGCTCTCCATCCAATCTGACAGCTTGAGCGATTCTGCGCAGAAGAATGGGCAGAAATGTCCCTCCCTAGATGTGCAAAGAGACATCCCCAAAAAGACTTGCAGCTGGAATTGCAGCCAAAGGGGGTCCTACAAAGGATTGACTCCGGGGGGCTGAATACAAATGCCGCCCCACTTTTCACAGATTTATTGGTCACAAATGTTGGAAACCATTTCTCATTTTCCTTCCACTTCACGATGATGGGCCACTTTGTGTCGGTCTATCACATCCAATCCCAATAAATACATTGTAACGTGACAACATGGGGGGGGGGGGGGGGGGCATTTCAAGGGGTGTGAAGACTTTTTCAAGGCACTGTATCATATATCGATAAACACTGACTGGCATAGTCAAGGCGTTGGATATCTTTTTTTTATATCCTTTTCCATCTTTGTAAAGTTCCATTACCTTGTTACGCAGGTCTTTTGCCAGTTCTTTTCTGCTCCCCATGGCTCAGTATCTAGCCTGCTCAGTGCATCCACAGCTCATTGACAGTTTTTTGGTATGATCAGTCATACTTTCAACACCATCCCAGTTCGATAAGTCGCTGATCACCGCCACTGCCCGTGTAGCATCGTAAATTCCAGAACATATCCCGTAGTTTGTAGACACTATCACTTTACACAAACCAATTATTATACACTTATTGGGATTTTTATTTTTATTTATCAAAGACATGTAACAGAATACACCTACATTTATGAAGAAATCAGATTTTTTTATTTTTTTTTTTTTTTTATTTTTTTTATTATTTTTTTTTTTTTTTTTTATAACAAAGTAGAAAATTCCTTTTTTTTTTCAAAAAATGTCTGTCTTTTTTGTTTAAATAATAAAAAAAAAACCCCAGTGGTGATAAAATACCACCAAATGAAAGCTTTATTAGTGTGAAAAAAAAATTAAATAAATTTCATTTGGGTGCTGCATGGCCGCGCAATTACCAGTTAAAGTAGCGCAGTGCTGAATAGCAGAAAAAATGCTCTGATGAAGGAGGGTAAAATCTTGTAGCGCTGAAGCACTTCCCACCTGCCATGTACTGCTGACAGGCATCCTGTACAGACACAGTGGCCTCAATTTATGAAGAAATCAGATTTTTTTTTTTTTTTTAATTTTAGTTTATATGTTTTATAACAAAGTAAATAATACCTTTTTTTCCCCCAAAAATGCTGATCTTTTTTTGTTGAAATAAAAAAAAAAACAAAAAAAAAACCCAGTGGTGATAAAATACCAGCAAAAGAAAGCTCTATTTGTGTGAAAAAAAATTATTTGAATTTCATTTGGGCGCTGCATGGCCGCGCAATTACCAGTTAAAGTAGTACAGTGCTGAATAGCAAAAAATTGCTCTGGTCAAGAAGGAGGGTAAAATCTTCTAGAGCTGAAGCACTACCCACCCTCCCGCCATGTACTGCTGATGGGCATCTCATACAAACACAATGGCCTAAATTTATGGAGAAATCAGATGTTTTTATTTTTTTTATTTATGTGCAGTATAACAAAG